TTTGTGCAATCGTAAAGCTTCGTTGACATCGTATCAGATATCAGTAATCTTCGTGTGATTTTCACAGATTGTTCGGTCAGCGGAGCAGCGCCAGGAAATCACACTCAAGACGGCTTACATGACATAAAAACTAGAACGTGTCGTCTTGCGCGCCTAGTTCGAAACCGAAGTGATATTGCCTTGAAAATCCTGAAAAAATATTCCATACTCTACCTCTAGCACATGAAGTGAGTGAAAATGTCGTTTGAGGCGAGGATTTTGGATTCCTTAAGACCCATATTCCCGCAGCTAAATGACCGCGTTTTAACGGAATGCATAAGGAATGTTCAAGAAACCGTTGGAAGTGATCCCGCCACTATATTACCCGGATGCATTGACATGCTCTTGAGTAGAACTATTAATGAAGAAAATTTAACGGCAAACAGATCAGTTGTGCCTGTGACAAAACCTACAAACGAAAAAGCAAACTCGTTTGTTATAGAAGAAGACGATGATGTAGTGTTTGTCTCGAAAACGAGCCGTGTTCAGACAGCGGCTGCAACCAGAATTGCACCAATGATCATTGATGACGTGGAGATTACGGCATACCACTCTTCGTCCACCCCGAGAGGCGCATCTAATCCACCTCCGCTAAATGCTGGTTGTAACACAAGGGACCTGAGCCGAAATCTTTCGTTCGAAGGAGAGACACAATTTCCTCGTGCGCCATTTTCGAATATGCCGTCAGCGAATCTTCAAGATTCTAATCGACATGTTCAGGTTACACACGCTCAACATCCTCTAGATCCCACAGAAGGAGCTATGGAAAACCTTCACGCTCTATTCCCTGATGTAAGAGATGATTATCTTCAAAGCTTGCTTGACAGGTGGTCACATCTCCCTCGAGATGTGGCCATCAATCATGCTTGCAATGAGTTAATTGAGAAACGTGATTATCCTAAGAAAGCATCTAAATTAACTAATCCTCTGGGAACCAATACTTCTGGAAATGTCTGTGTAGAGAAAGACTTCTTCAAAGACTTTTCAGGTCCAGTGTCATTGCAATACCAAAATCAGTGCTTAGTTTTACTTCAAAATGAATTCAGAATGATTCCCAAGGGGCATATTAAGAAAGCTTTGCAAATATTTCGATATCACTATGCCCCGAGTAGAAGATATCTGCAGGAACAACTTTGCATTTCTACACAAAGGGATGCAACTGCCACAGTGACAGCTGCACCCTCTTGTCAACTCACAAGTAAGGTGCCATTAGCCACTGTTGGTGAGACTCCCTATGCACTTAGCCAGCGACCACCTCAAATTCAACTTCTTAGGTGTGGACGCTCTCCAGTACAGTCAAATTACTCACCATTTAACATGGATGAGGAACTTTTAAGGGAGATGGAGTATGTGAAAAAGTGGGATCTTTCTAGAACTGCAGAGAAGGATCGATTATTTGCCTTAAGCTTAAATGACCAGCAGTATGAAGAAGAAGGCCAGAAAATTGAATGTGGCTGTTGCTATGGAGATGCAGCTTTTGAAGACATGGTTCAGTGCCTGGATGGTCATCTTTTCTGTGCAAGTTGTCTGATGAACTATGCAAAGGAGGCTGCTTTTGGCCAAGGTAAGACAACTCTTGTGTGCATGAGTGATGGTTGTGAAGGCACATTTCCCATGAGTCAACTGAAGAAGGCCTTGCCGGCCAAAATCCTGGAGAAATATGAAGATCGTGTGCAAGAGGAATCCCTTACATTGGCCCAAATGGATGATTTTGTGCAGTGCCCCTATTGTGATTTTGCAGCAATTTTGCCACAGGAAGAGAAAGTTTTTAAATGCCAGAATCCTTCTTGTGCCAAAGAAACCTGTCGGTACTGCAAAGAGGAATGGTCTGATCATTTTGGCTTAAAGTGTACTGAGGTTGAAAAATCAGCACAGAAGGATGTGAGGCTTTCATATGAAGAAAGAATGACAATGGCAAAGATAAGAAAATGCCCAAAGTGTGGGTGCGAGTTCACCAAATCAGATGGGTGCAACAAAATGACATGTCGGTGTGGAGCCACAATGTGCTATGTCTGCCGTAAGCCAAGTATTCATTATAACCACTTTTGTCAGCATCCAAAGGATCCTGGAAAGCCGTGCACAAAATGCAAAAGTTGTTCGCTGTGGAGTGATCCTTCCGAAGATGATAACCGTGCAGTGAAGGAACTCGAGAAGGAAGCCCAAGAAGCAAAGAGGAAGTTTGAGGCAGAATCAGAGGACATCCCAGCTAAAAGGGTGAAGAATGTATGAGAACTATATTAGAGATGTAGCTCCTTGAGAGTGTGAATTACAGTAAGGTTATAACATGAAATTCATGTCCTTTGGCAGTTGGCAAGAGGAAGGATTAGAAACATTAGAAGGTACTTTCTATTCATTTTGTCACCCCATTTCAGAAATTGTGATGTTACACCAGAAGATTTTCATCTTTCATTTTACAAATTATTGTCAACAAATACTCAAATGAGGGTTACATATATATGCTTCACCTTTAGGGTTTATGTTTATGTAAAAGTAAAGAACTTGTTATTATACTGAAGTTCTGAACATCAGACTTCAAATTTGGTCATTTGTGTAATCTTGTGTGAAAGCAATTTCTTACCAAAAAAAGTATTTGAGAATTGAAAAGTAGTGATCTCAAGAGTATCGGTTGTTTGAAACGAGGCAATTCAGGGAGCAAGCTTAAATATTCTTTCAGCAAGAAGGACTGCCAGTTTTACATTTTCTGTTTTAGTTTGAGGATTTCTCAAACCTGAATTATCATATGATCACAATGATCTCCAAAACATTACATTTCAACTTATTTGTAATAAGTGCTCAAAAATTTAAATGTACTGTGTCTCTTATGCAGATGGATAAAGAAATCAAGATGCACCAGATACATACATGTAGAAGGCACTTGGAAAGAACCATGCACAAATATCTGTTCTCTTCATCCCCTTTACTTATGACTTTTGTATGCAATATTTGTGTCATGCCAGGCTGAGAATCTTACTTGTACTTGCAGAAAAAAAGCATTGAATATATTTTTTTGTGGGTAAAATACATTTTCCTATGTACATTTCCTACAGCCCTTGATATAATTGGGGTCTGACATATTTTGAAAATTTAAGACTACGTGTGAGAATATTGCATTAGCAACAGTTTCCTATTGAACTTTTTAGGGTTGGTAAAATCTTAGAATTTACTACCATGCAACAACCTCATGCATGGGATTTAAATTGAAACTTTAATTGTACACAATGTAATTCTGTGAAAAATGAAAAACAAAAAAATATATTTTTATATGCAAATTAACACAATATTTTATTATTTGCTATAATTGATGTCACATTTAAGTTGATAATATGAATTTAATGAACCAATTAGTGTACTGAATTCTCTATTCGAAGAGTTTTATAATTTCTGTTCCTGTGACACTCTAGCAGTTAATAATCATTAGCATGCATAACCCAGGGCTTTGTGTACATGTAGTTTCAAGTGTTCCAGTTCTATTATCACGTTACATTTTTCTGAGTCATTTCTGACCACTGCTTAATGTTAGAAATTAAATAAATGCAACCTTCTAGGCTTACAGATTGATAGATATCCATTTGTAACTTGTGCATGACCTTACTATAAGTCTTGAATTTCAGTACCAGTTCTCTCCCAAATATGATGGGAAAGTTTGAAATGGCTGAGTGGACCTCTTTAGCCAGTGCAGTATGTTTAGTTCCTAATGAGGATCATGTGACAATACTTTGGAGAACTGAGTCTTCCAAACTTTGTCCATAGGCATAATTACAAAACATAAAGGGGGAATTCATCAGGAAGACAAGTCATACGATCAAAGAAGTCTTGCAATAAGAGGTAGTACCTTTTAGATTGTGCTAGTAAAGTAGCTAGTTATGCTTCTAGCATTGCCAGACTTTCCCCAAATGTAATCAAAATTATGTTAATTTTTGAATTTGAGAGGATGTCAGCATCCATCGAACAAATTTGAAATATTGTGGCAAGTCGCCCAAAATTTGTTTTCTCTCCTACTGTCATATTTTGTAGCCAAACATGTTCTAATAATTGTGGTGGTGTTTTATTGTGAAAATATATTTTAGTTTTCGAAGAATGACTTTTTTCGTTCGACCGCTCAAATATGCAAATTTTCACCGTGAATATTACCCGAGTTGTGTGACCTCATGTAACGAATGTACTAGACCTACGGTATTTCTGTGAGCATAATCCTTTGTTTTATCATCTAAACTTAATCCCCTGTCTTTATTTAAGCTGGCAAAGAAATATTTATTTGTTGGTGAATATTTTTGTCCGACATACTTTCCTATGTCGAAAAATAGCATCAAAACAAAGACAGTTTTAACAATGACCGATGTGACAGAATCTACTGAGCTTCAAGCTTTTAAAAGGCCAAAGGGTGGTTATAAAGTTACTGTAAAAATTTCCTTGTGCATTTGTGTTGTTCTATCTTGAGACGAACTCATAGTCCGGCAAACTTTACTTGATAGCGACTATGAAATGTACATGGTGGATTAGGTTCACAGAAATACCGTAGATCTAGTACATTCGTTACATGAGGTCACACAACTTCGGTAATATCCACAGTGAAAATTTGCATATTTGAGCGGTCGAACGAAAAAAGTCATTTCTCGAAACCTAAAATATATTTTCACAAAAAAAAACTACACTACCAT